TCCACGCATCTGGACAAGTTGGAGCAGTAGCCATCTGGAAACTTCAGAGACACAAGCCATTGTAATATTGATTCTTTTTGTGCTTGTGTGACTTGGTAGACTGCTTTTGGAATATTGTTGCCCTGATATTCTAGATCAACAGATAGTTCGGGCCTATCACACCAAATAGTCATATCTTTTCGAGATGCAAGACCATCTTTAGTTTTACCTTTGAAATCCATCACTGTGTTAAATATATTGTCAAACACGTTCTTCTCAGTGTGCATGACATCTATATTGTGACGAATGAGAAGGTCTTTCCAATATGGTAACTCCCAAAAGATACTCCTCTTTGTCCACTTATGGGTATCACAAAACCCATATGACTTCTTATTTGGTTCTTGCATAACCGTAGGAATACGTCGAACCCGGTTAAAAATTGCTTCCCCGGTCAATCTCGGGGGCGGGGTGTCTCGTACCACTCTACCTCTAATGAAAGACTTTTTGTCCCTTCGATATCGGTGGTTTTCCGGGAGAAACTTGCGGTGACAATCAAAGTAGCTTGGTTTTTTACTGAAAGTTAGCCAATTGGCACCTGATTTCTCCATGCATATTGGACATCCCATAAGACCATGTGTGCTCCATCCCGAAAGCATGCCATAGGCAGGGAAGTCGCTAATGGTCCAAATGATGGCAGCTTTCATTATGAAATTTTGATCCCTTGAAACATCATATGTTGGTGTCCCAATGGCCCAAAGTTCTTTCATCTCCTCGATAAGGGGTTGGAGATAAATGTCTATTTTTTTCCCTGGATCATTGGGACCCGGATAGATTAGAGTCAAAAAGATAAAGTGACTTTTCATGCACATGTCGGGAGGGAGATTGTAAGGAGTTAACATGACCGGCCAACATGAATAGTTCTTCCCAAACCTTCCAAATGGAGCAAATCCGTCTGAACACAATCTCAGTCGCACATTTCGTGGCTCCATTGCAAACTGAGGATGACAACGGTCAAAGTGTCTCCAAGCTTCACAGTCCGAAGGGTGAGACATCATACCCTCTTTTGTTTCGTGCTCAACATGCCATGTCATGTGTTTCGCAGTAGCAGTCGAAGCGTACATCCTCTGAAGTCGTGGAGCTATTGGGAGGTAATACAGTTTAGACAATGCCGACTTATTTCGTGGTTTCTTTCTACTTTGAGGAACAGGTTTGTATCTATTTCCACCACAGAACTTGCAGAATTCAAGTGCCTCATCATCCTTCCAGAACAACATACATCCTTTCGGGCACGCATCAATTTATATATAAGGTAGCCCCAACTTAGACATTAATTGCTTCATGTGATAATATGAATCCGGAAGGTTATGATCACGTGGTAGCATCCCGCCTACTGACTGCAAGACTCTAGTCATGCAAGTTTCAGGGAGACTGTATTCAGCTTTTATGTTCATAAACATTGTAACGGCGGATAGCTGAGAGTATCTCTCACAATCAGCATACAAGGGTTGATCAGCTGCTTTTAAAACATCTTGAAATCTTTCAGCTAAACCTTCATCCACATAAGGTTCATAAAATATCGGATTTTCATCCTCATGTGGTTGATACGAGGTCGAAGCTTCAGGAGGATCGTTAGATGGTTGTGGGGGGTTGAACTGAGACATCGATGCACCGTATGCGTCATATACCATACGTTGCTCCCATCTCATTTCAGCAGGGTCTCCCCACGCACTCATCTCTGCAGGGACGTTACGAGACGAACCTACCGTTTGTGGTAAAACAGATGGATCCAAAGGTTCGCCATGAGAAGTCCAATTGTAATAATTGGGAAGGAAACCGTCCGCGTACAAATCCCACCCAACTTCGTCTGGGTGTTTAAATTTGAGATTTTTACACTTTGAACATGGACATCTGATTTTATCACCACTCATATAAGCCGGGTGTTCAAGTGCGAATTTAATAAACTCCTCAACTCCTTCAAGAAAATTTGATTGCATTCCGTACAATACCACATGTTTATCATACATCCAAATTCTATTTTGTCTATACATTATGCCTGAATATTATAATAAAAAAATTACACAGGTTAAAAACTCTAAATTATAAACATTACCAACATATTATATGTGGAGTATTATTAATATATTAAAATTAACTAATTCCCTAAAATTCCCTTAAAATTAACTAATTCCCTTAAAATTAACTAATTTCCTTAAATTTCACTAAATTTCACTAAAATTCCCTTAAAATTAACTAATTCCCTAAAATTCCCTTAAAATTAACTAATTCCCTAAAATTCTCTTAAAATTAACTAATTCCTTTAAAATTAACTAGTTTACTTAAATTTCACTAAAATTCACTAAAATTTCCTTAAAATTAACTAATTCCCTAAAATTCCCTTAAAATTAACCAATTCCCTTAAAATTAACTAGTTTCCTTAAATTTCACTAAAATTCACTAAACTTCCCTTAAAATTAACTAATTCCCTAAAATTAACTAATTCCCTTAAATTTCACTAAATTTCACTAAATTTTCCTTAAAATTAACTAATTCCGTAAAATTCCCTTAAAATTAACTAGTTTCCTTAAATTTCACTAAAATTCACTAAAATTCACTTAAAATTAACTAATTCCCTAAAATTCCCTTAAAACTAACTAATTCCCTTAAAATTAACTAATTGCCTAAAATTTCACTAAAATTCACTAAAATTCACTAAAATTCCATTAAAATTAACTAACGTCCAATAATTAATATTATTAAACTATAAACATGCACAATACGTTAATGACATTAATTTAATCCACAATACTAAAATTATCAACATCTTAATCTTATTAATAATGCACATTTAACAATTTACTAAATTAAATAATATGAGCAAATCCAATAATTTGAGCATATATATATATATAATAAACACATTTAAATTAAATTAACTAACCCTAATTTAAATCATTATTAATCCTAAATTAGGCCGCCTTAATTAACAATAATTGCCAATATAAAGAAATCATATACTTATATTTAATCATATATATATATAAAGTCATTTGAATTAAATAATACTTACATTTAACTAATATTAATAATATGCATTTAAATTATATTTATTCATATATACTTACATACGTATTTAACTAATTTACGTAATTTTAACCCTATATTTTAAAATTAATAACATATGAATTGCCAATATTATATTTAATAATATACTTACATATGTATTTATTAACAAATTTACATATTTAACTAATTTACAAAAAATACGTAATTCAAATTACATACCTTATCTGCATAAACAGGAAAAATGATATGAGATGGGTAGATTACATCCTTCAATTCTATCTGGAATTCTATCTGGAGTAGATGGTGTGATTTTGTTGAATGAAACGGAGGTTGCATATATAAAATTTGTAGTCATGGACTTAGTCACGGATGTGTCCGTGACTACATTTTTTTGTACGAATTGTCGGTGCACTTTTAACTTGGAACGTTGAAAAAAGCAATTTTGCACTTGTCACGGAATTAGTCACGGACTTGTCCGTGACTAACTGTAGTCACGGTACTAGTCACGGAACCATCCGTGACTAATTTCAAATTAAAAAAAAATCCCGCCGGAGGCGAAAATGGGTTGGCCGGAACACTTTAGTCACGGACTAGGTCCGTCACTACCTATAGTCACAGACGTAGTCACGGACAAATCCGTAACTACTTTTTTTATAACCGTTTCGTGACTAAACCGTGATTAGAACCGTGACTAACTAGTCACGGACCAAATCCGTGACTACGATCCGTGACTACAGGCGAATTTTTTTGTAGTGATTCTTTTGGCAAGTAATAGTTTGAATTTGTTGCATGAAACTAAACGATTACTTTCACGCTATTTTGATATGAAAGATCTCAGTGAAGCCTCTTATGTAATTGGCATTGAAATACATAGAGATCGATCCAATGGAGTGTTAGGACTATCTCAAAGAGCTTACATCCCTATTTTTTCAAATTAAACTTCCAGATTTATTTATCATATCCGTTTACATCCCTATTTTTTTTTTGTTAACCACGCCTTTTCTTTGGGGATTTTGATGAGTCAGCATGTCTTGGAGACTTTCTACACTCGAAAGTTTCCCTTCACATTGTTCAGTTTCTTTTTTGCCAAATCAGCAAAACTCAATCAAAGACTAGATGCATTGGACTGAATAATAGATGGGTCCTTCTATGGTACATTGCAAAATAAAGGAGGTATCAATTCATGCCCAATCACACTACACCAGGAAGCCACTTTAGGAGCTCACTCATATTTTTAAATTGTCTTTTATTATTTGCCTTGTATGATATGGCTGGTGAGGTACCGGTGCCTCAATATTTGTGGAGGCACCGTAGAAATGTCCATAATGGATACGTAGTGTGTAATTTTATGAGGTGGCAAGTTTTAAATAGATTACACAGTGCAACATTGGGGTTGCTCTAAACTGTATGTTCTTTTTTATGAAGCAACAATTAGTCAATTTTCACCGCAATTTTTACCATGCGTCATCCAGATTCCAGAAACAGCATCTTTGTGCTTAATACAGGTGTAAGACTACATATATCTGACCTCTTTGCCCCATCGTAAGTAAGAACCTTTGTGACATGAGGAGTTGTTTCAAAAATTATGTCACTTTCTCTTTAAAATAATAAGTTTGTTGTTTTTATTATTGTTCTATCCTTTGTCAACACTCAATACTGCAACAATTCATAAATTCTATCCTTTGTCAACACTCAATACGGCAACAACTCATTCTTGTTGTACACACCCTTGTACACACCTTGTACACACCATGTTTGTGAAACTTTATTTTTGTCTGTGAATCCGGTTCACAGACAATATTTTGTTTGTGCAAAACATTGTCTGTGAATCGATGTTCACAGACAAAAAAAAAGCTTTCACAGACATAGGTGTGTACAAAAGTGTGTACAAAAGTGTGTACAAACATTATTTTTCGTCTAATAGTCACGTCCTGCGGAAATCGACCCACGAGAATAGGAAAAGCTGCTCACGATTCTATGAATTTTCAACTCTCTCTTCTCACTTATTCAAAGTTAATTATACTCCAATACTCCATATATATTGAACTTGACCCACTCTTTATTCCCACTCTTTATTGGTCAAAGAGAATAAAAAATGGAAGAAGAATTCTCCAAATCAGAATCCCCAGAAATCACTCTGAGATCAATACAGCTTTCAGACTTGGACGATTTTATGGAATGGGCAGGAGATGAAAGAGTGACTACTTTCTGCACGTGGGATACTTACACCTCAAGAGACCAAGCCATTGACTTCATAAAGAATTATGCAATTCCACACCCATGGTTAAGAGTGATTTGCCTTGAGAATAGGGCAGTTGGGTCAGTATCTGTGACCCCCAGGTCAGGGCATGACAGTTGCAGAGGTGAGCTTGGGTATGTGTTGGCACACAAGTATTGGGGCAAAGGGGTTGCAACAAGGGCAGTCAAGATGGTTGCATCTACCATCTTCTCAGAGTGGGCCCACCTGGAGAGGCTTGAGGCTTTTGTAGATGTGACAAACAAAGGTTCTCAGAGGGTGCTGGAGAAAAGTGGGTTTCTGAGAGAAGGGGTTTTGAGGAAGTACCTGATCCTGAAGGGAAGATCTAGAGATACAGTGGTTTACAGCCTCCTCTCCACTGATTTCTCTTCTCTAGGCAAGTAGCCTCTCAATCAATCCTCTATACATTTGACTTGGCTAATACTGGATTGAGCTAGGCTTTGGTGAAAAAACATATTCCTATACTTTAAGAGTTTAAGAGAGAATAAAAGAATATACGTAGTTAAACTTAAAACAATTAATCATAAAAACTATGAAGTAAAAAAAACTCCTCAATTGATTAGAGAGAAAGCTAATATGTTCTATTCCTTTTTTATTAATCACACTTTGACTTTTGAACTATTCACATACTTTTCTTTTATCACATGTTTTTACTTATACATAAAAATAAATCATTTCATATAATAAATTATTTTATTTTCCGTTATGTAAAATTATACTAGTAACATTTTATAATTTTTACTTATGTATAAGTAGATATATTAATGATCAAAGTTAGGTGTTGACAATTGTGAAAACCAAAAAAATTGTAACTAAAGAAAAGGAGGTAACATTTGTTATTTTGGATAGGGAAAAGGGGCAAATAAGCCCTCGAACTAACCGAAAAAGAGCAAATCACCCCTTTTATAGGAGGCTCTGTCCGTCCGTCGCCATTTGGGACGGTTCCCGGTGGAATTATTTGATGAATTTTTTTGAGCATCTTTTTCATTAAGTCTAGTTTACCCATACCAAATTTCAGCTAAAAATGCAATCGGTAAGGCAGTCAAATAAATGTTTGAAGATAACTGCGTTGTTAAACAATGCAGTATATTTCGGAAAATCATTTGACTGCCTTCCCGGTTGAATTCTTAGCTGAAATTTTGTATGGGTAAACTAGACTTAATGAAGAAGATGCTCAAAAAAATTCATCAAAAAATTCCACCGAAAACCGCCCCAAATAGCGACGGCCGAACAGAGTCTCCTATAAAAGGGATGATTTGCACATTTTCGGTTAATTCGATGATTTATTTGCCCATTTTCCCTTTTGTATATAGGTAGAGGCGGGCCATGTCGTGCCACAGACCACCCAAATTTGAAAAAACGCTTTATGGTATGCATAATTTTCTGTGTAAAAACTAAAAAGCTTTTAAAATTTTCATTTATACCGGTCATCCCCACTTTGTCTCCTTGCTACATCATTATTTAGATGCATATACATTCCTTCTTCATACTCCGTATTAGTTTAACATGAAAGAGATCTACAAAACATCTAAGACTTCGAAAGTACATATTATATACTACCTCGGTCTCGGAATTATCTCGTTATTGGACTGGGCACAGGTTTTAAGATAGTAGACAATGTATGGTGGAGAGTTGTGCAGAGGAAAGAAAAATGTGTAAGAATGATTGTGAATCACAAAATCTTTGCCAAAAAAGGAAAGAGAAGATAAATTTGGTACGGATCGAAAAGGAAAGTATGAAGATAATTCCGGGACGGAGGGAGTATAATTTATTTGATTTTTTATTTCAACTAAGATATGATGTTCAAGTACTTGAAGATTACACAAAAAGAGGTATTGAATGGGATAGGTGTTTGCTACAGATTATTATTTTTGTCTGCGAATCCCGTTCATAGACAGATTATTATTTTTTTGTCTGTGAAAATTTTCATAGACAATAACACATATGTTTTGTTTGTGAACGAGATTCACAAACAAAAAAAGTAGTCGAGGTGGGTACAAGAGTGGGTATAAGAGGGTGGGTACAAACAACAATTTTCAGAGTTAGTTAGACCAAATTTGGAGTAAGCTAGTCTAATTCATGTTGTTAAGTGACTTAAGTCCATTCAGGAATCAATAAACTAGTGCACGACCGGATGATCATTCTTCTTTTTTATTGACAGTATTGGAGCCCATGGAGATTGATGGAAAAGGAACGCACAATTGAGAATCTGCCCAAAATGTACTTTCTAACTTTGTGCGTCATACTAATAGACATATATATATGTGTTCCAGTGAATTCTCAGTGTGTTAAAAACAAAAGATATTTGGTGTACACATTTTTTGTACACATTTCATAGATTTTTTTTGTATCACAAATAATTAGTATAAATTTCTGACAAGTTCTACATTTTTAGACAAATTACATAAAATGTATGGAGAGTGCACAAATAAATGTAAAGATAATTCCCTAAATAGGAGTAAAAAAGTTTTGAAATTCCAAAATAAGACTATCATGTTTTTTATTCCTTGAATATGAGCAAATTTTTGCCAACTTTGGCATTACTAGGCTTTAAACATGGCATTTTTTTTTCAAACTTGGCAGATTACTCTTATTCAGGGAATAAAAAATATGACACTCCTATTTTGGAATTTCAAAACGTTGTTGCTCCTATTTAGAGCAATTTCTAATAAATGTATACAAATGTCATTTTATGGTTATAAATTAGCTTCTTCAAGAAAGACATTATACAAGGGTGATAGCATAGTGTGGGAAAATGTAAAAAGAGATGAAAACATAAGAACATTTGTGTTTCTTAGAGATTAGATTGAATAAAGTTTTATGTTAACTAAGCAAAATATATATGAGGTAGGAGGAATAATGGATGACGGTCAAAGTTATTACACATTATTGACTAGTGTTACATTTTAGGTCCACTACAGATGATTTTTTTTGTCTGTGAATCCCGTTCATAGAAGGATTATTTTTTTTGTCTGTGAAAATTTTCATAGACAATAACATGTATGCTTTGTTTGTGAACGGGATTCACAAACAAAAAGTAGTCGAAATGGGTACAAGGGTGGGTATAAGAGGATGGGTATAAACAACATTTTTCAGAGTTATTTATACCAAATTTGGAGTGAGCGGGTCTAATTCATGTTGTTGAGTGACTTAAGTCCATTCAGGAATCAATAAACTAGTGCACGACTGGACGATCATTCTTCTTTTTTATTGACAGTATGGAGATTGATGGAAAAGGAACGCACAATTGAGAATCTGCCCAAAATGTATTTTCTAACTTTGTGCGACATACTAATAGACATATATATGTGCCCAGTGAATTCTGAGTGTGTTTAAAACAGAAGATATTTGGTGTACACATTTTTGTACACATTTTACAGATTTTGTTTGTGTCACAAACAATTAGTACAAATTTCTGACAAGTTCTACATTTTAAGACAAATTACAAGTGATACAGATAAAATGTATGGAGAGTGCACAAATAAATGTATACAAATGTTATTTTATGGTTATAAATTAGCTTCTTCAAGAAAGACATTATACAAGGGTGATAGCATGGTGTGGGAAAATGTAAAAAGAGATGAAAACACATGAACATTTGTGTTTCTTAGAGATTAGATTGAATAAAGTTTTATGTTAATTAAGCAAAATATATATGAGGTAGGAGGAACAATGGATGACGGTCAAAAGTATTACACATTATTGACTAGTGTTACATTTTAGGTACACAAATAATATGTATGTAATTGTATGACTTGAGAATTAAGAACACATGGTAATTATATTAGTTAGTAAGAATAATTAATTTCATAAGGTATTCTCACTTTTAGTCCTTTACATGTTAAGATTCGTTAATGTATTATACTTGTTGAGGTTTAGTCCCGCAGATCCGAACGTCCAACACGAACTTTGGATATATCAGGAAATGGATCAGAACCAAGTGTATAAAGATGAATAATTGATTGCTCTAAAGCTCACTTTGTATTAAATAACTTGCTTGATTACACGGAAATCTCCCGATCGATACGTCGGAGTAGTGAATAATACAAGAACAAGAGTGATGATGAAAATGCTAACCCTTTACAATGATATTAAACCCTCTATTTATACTAACGGGGGGTATGTGGCGCTTCATGCTGATTGGTTGTTAATCCACCAACTTGGGTGCCCATGCTTCTACTTGTTAATGTCGTAATCTGGCATTTAATGCAATCTGGCCACTTGCACGTTGTCCGTTGCCCGAATGGGATAATGGACCATATGGACCACTTGCACGCTGTCCGTTGCAAGTATGATGTATGACCTGAACCCCGTTCGGCATATCTATTTCTGGGCCAACTTTTATTTGGCTCGAACCTCGTTCGGTGTGAATATCTCACCGGGCCTACTTACCACGGGGTTGTGGGCTCGTTGTTTGGGTTTGATATTTTGGGCCTTTAATTTGGGTATTGGGCCTTTAGTCCAATACCCCAACACGAGTCCCCCACTTCCAATGTCTTGAATGATAGTGAGTGCATTAGGAAGTAGAACCTAAATGCCGAATGGCGATCGACACTCAGAATTCGCCGGTTCCCCATGTTCTGATTATTACCTCTTTTGCGGCTGTCGTTTGAGTTTTCCCATATCCGTCATGATTACTGATTTTTGCTTCTCCATGCGACACATGTTATTTCAAATAGTCCTGGCGACGTGTCATTATTTGGTTGGTCGTCGATACAACGTTTGTCAGACTATAAATTAGCCTTTAGTTCTTTAGTTCTGGGTTTCGAATTATCAATCCTTCGTGCTTTAGCTCTGCCTTTTTTCTAAACTTTCTTCAAGCTTTTCGTGTTCAGGTATTTTTCATCCCTTAATTTTTCTCCTTTTTCTTCGGTCTTGTCGGTATGAGTCCTTAATCGCGTTCCTTTGATTCAGAAATGGCTTCCCAAGGGGATGACCATGATGCCGCCGTTGTGGATGTCATAAATGTCCCGTTTGCCGGTGGTTCAAATGAAGCGACGGCGGAGACTAGGGCGGAGGCGGAGGATTCTTCCGTCGGCTCTTCTATTGATGATGATTCCGACAATACGAAATCCGGTGATGAACTCGTTTCAATGGCGGCCGGCTTCCCGGGCGACGTTCCCCGTCATAAGGTGGACTTGAGGCTAATTAGGGAAAGGAGGCAAAAATTGACCTCTCATATTAGGGCTCAAATCCCAGCCCTAATTCCGGACCCGGTGGATTTTCGTCTTCGGGCTGGGCTTCACCCAATGCGCCACATTCCTGGGATGGTGGTGGTCCATTTTGACTCGGTGAAAACTGGGCTTAGGTTTCCCCTACACCCTTTCTTCGTTTCCTTCCTCATTTTTTATGAGATAGTACCAGCCCAAGTTATGCCGAACTCTTATCGGGTGATAGCGGGCTTCATTTGCCGTTGTAAAGATGCCGATGTTACTCCCACTCTAGAGCTGTTCCATCAATTTTTAAGGTGGCTCCCCAGCAGACACACGGTTACCTGGCTGCAACTGCCCGAATGGGTCATATTTTATTTAAGGGTAATCCTACCTCGATCAAGGGGTGGAAAGACCGGTTCTTTTTTTTCTCCATCCCGGATGGCTTGATTGCGAACAAGTGGAATGCATTTCCCCGTAAAACTCCCGATCCGCTTCTTACCGAACAAATCTGCAAGGATGTCTTTGCAATAGAGAAGGACAAATCTTGTGATATCATAGGATATCTGACCCCCCGATCGACTAATCGAGGCCGTGATAGGTACTGCCTGTTCTGTTGGGTTTATTTGTTTTAAGAATCAAGTGCCATGGTTCGGGCGGTCCTTCTCGTGCGAGAAACGTTCCCTTGTTTTTTTTTGTTTCCCACGTGATAAGGCCGCTCGGTACTAACATTTTCCTTTTGTTATTTTTCAGGTCCCAATCCAGACACTACTATGGATAACTGCCGCGTACTCGTTGCTGGTGGAGTAGGGAAGAGGAAAAAGGCGAAGAAAAATCCCAAGGCTAATCCCTCCACTACCACTACACAACATCCCGAGCCTTCACAGACCGTTCGGAATCCTGAGCCCATTCAACAGGTTTCCTATCAGGATCAGTTTGAAGACATGCTGATCGATGATCGGTTCGGATCTGATCAGCTGCATCAATTTACTGAGCACTTTCAGGCTGTTCAGGGTGCTACCACAAACGTGGGTGAAACCCACACCGCCCATCTCTCTGGGCTAGTCGGACGGATCTCTCTGGCAGATCCCGTTCATGAGGTGTTGGAGAAGGCTGGTTCCTCTGCGAGCCAAATCTGGTCTAATTCTTCATGGTTTAACAACTTTGCGGTCCTGTAATACCCCGAAAATTTGAGAGAATTTGGGAAATAATTAAAATTGTGTTTCATATTGATGGATAGTGTACCCGGGGGTAGCTTATCTGAGGGGTTATTACGGGGAATAACTAGAGAGAAGTCGGAGCAAGTAAGTATAGAGAGAGAAAGTATATTTAGAAAGTATGCAGCGTTTTCAGCGTGTTATGACTTGGTTACAAATGGGGAAATGGGGTGCTATTGATAGTAGCAATAAATGCCAGACGGGGACACGTGTCAAACGTCCATTGGCCAAGAGGTCATCTCAACTGGTTGGCGATGGCAACCGCATGCGGCTGTTGGATGGGACGTTGTACAGGGTACGGTGATCTGTACGCATGTGGCGCGGATATCATGTCGGGAAAGGTGCCCTCGGTCTGTAGAGGACTAGCCGAGGGCTCTGAGTACCGGGGACCTCCTTAGTGTCGAGGGCTCCAGGTGCCGAGGGTTACTGATTTTCGCCGTTTTTCCCAGTAACTTTGTTTTGCTGTCTTGGCCCTCCTGTGAGAGTTAGAGCCTTCGGCCAGGGGGCCGGAGGCACCCCTGGTGCGCATTTGTGGGCTGCTTGGTATCTTGGGCGCCGTGATTTGGGTCTGTTGTGTTTCCTGGGCCTATTGGACCTTTATTGGAGTAGTAGGAGTCTGTGGGCCGGGGGTTCCCGGGCCATATACTCCATCAGGAGTCCCTCACTCCTTTTGCCGAAAGGTACTTGAGGGAAAAGGAGTAATTGTGTTTGTCCTCCGCCGTTGTTCCGTTTGTAGTTTGTAGAGTTGTGGGTAGTTTGCTGTTTGTTTATTCTGCCGAGGGCAGTCCCTCAGTTACCCACATGTCGGGACTTGAGGGATCATGTTTGTGATTTTTGTGATTTTTCCCGAGGGGGTCCTCTAGTCCCCCACTCCTTGAGGCACTTGCAAAGTGGTGAAAAGGAGTAGAGTAGTTGCGTTGCTTTTTTGGGCCGAAGGCTGACGCTTTTCGTTTCATTTTGGGGGGATGCCTCGTTAAAAACCTCATTAGGAAAAACCCTGTGGGAAAAAATCCTAATGAGGGAAAAAGAGTGCACCGAATTCCCCCAACGATGAATCGAAAATGTGAAACCTCGGTTCGAAATGGAGAATAATGATGATGCCGAAGGCTTTCCCTGTTCTGAGGGCTCATGTGGTGATTAGCCGGAGGCTTGCTTTTGATACCCTAGGAGGTGCCGAAGGGGAGTCCCTCAATCGGGGGATCGAGGGCGTAATGAATGAGGGTAGTAGTTGAATTGTTACCGAGGTGTCCCCTGTTTGTTTATTAGTTAGTGATGAGGATATCCGAGGGCTCCCATTACCTGTGTGCCATAGGCTATCCGTCCATGAGGCATACTC